AAWRRGCATTTGCGTAATAAAAAAAATGTCTTGTGTTAAAACAATGGCAATTTTCAAAAATATGGACTGTGAAGAGTTTCCGAGTTTTAAGATCGGTGAGGTGGTCCTTGGAAAAGTTTTTGACAACCAATTTGTCAATACGTGGAGAATAAATGAGAATTCATAGTCGCTAGCAATGTGAAATGTTCCAATTCCATAATGCTTTTTTTCCTAGAATATTTTTAAACTATTCAACAGAAGTCTCAAATTAAAAACATGATTAAGCTATTTCTATGAACTAAAAACGTTTTTAAAGCTGGCTAATGTTTTTACTGCTCTCAAAATGTGAAGTGAACTGATCAAATAACATAGTGTTGAGTGACATAACTGTAAGATTGCTTTGTTAAGGCTGTTGGGGGGAGGTGTGGTGTGGCTGGAATCGAATGGGTGAGGGTGGCATTTTCTCCAACACTGACAAATGTATGTAGGTTTTTTAATCACTTTAAATGCAGCTTCTTTAGACACGGCATCCCTTGGAATTTGATTGCCACACGTCTTTACTAGGGTGATTCTAAACTAGGGTGATTTACAAAATCTTGTCTGCTCCCTCACTTCGATTCGCATCGAAATTCTTTAAACAGAAATAGATTCATATACAGAGAGCTGTCTGTATGCAGCGGTTCCAGATCATTATCTTAAAAAAATAATATTCTTAGGGAAACGCTGTCTATTCGCTTTGAGTCACCATGAGCGACAGCTGTGCTAAAACGTCACCAATTGCACCTTTAGCTAATTTTGCTTTTCACTAAAATATTCCGCGACCAAGAGATTGCATTCTCTTGATTCGACATGGCACGAGTCACCAACACATCATCGGCTTTTAGAAAACCTTGTTAGTTTGAAAAATACTGACAAACAACGTTCAGTGATGTCAAGGCCGGGGAGGTTTATCAATTTCTGAGTATTAAGAAGGGGGAAGGGAAACGACTTAGGGTGGTACGGACGAGCGGTGTAAAAAGTGACCACATCATGTGTCCCGAGGCGAGAATGGTGGTGAAACAGACTTCTAACACATTCACACCAATGGTGGAGAATAACAAACGTGTTAACAATTTTACCCACGTACCTAGATACGTAGGGATCGCGAGGTCGTAAGATTGTATGTAAACGCGGGCTATATTTTGACCACAGCTGGGCGGATCACCTCACAAACCTGCGGTCCCCCACGTCCATGT